AGCACGTGATTCTATTTGGTTATGCACATTTATCTTTTAACAAGATAATAATATTTTATAAAAGGGTGAGGTGTGAGATTTAATGGATCAAAAATATACTTTTACCTTATGAGACTTGAAGAAAAATCCACCACAAATAAAATGGGACTTTTTACTTATATTAAAATTCTTAAGAGAATAAATTATAAAGATTTTTTTAAATTTTTTTTTAGATTTGAAATTATAAAACTGTTGGAATAAAAGAAACAAGAGGGAGATCAATGAAAACAAACTTTGGGAGGACACATAGAACTCCTATAGAAGGACAAATTAGGAGGAGTAGATTGTAAAGCCTCTGTTTGGCAAGAAAAAGCCTGGGCTTTTTTGGCTAAAATAGCCACAAAAAACAAAATAGGCTATTTTAGCCACAAAAAACAAAACATCAAATCCAACCCATAATCATTACAATCCTCTCTCACAAAAAAAGCCAAAAAAGCCAAAACGCCAAAAAGCCCTTCCCAAACTAGGCTAAAATAGCCCAGGCTAAAATAGCCAAAAAGCCAAAAAGCCAAAAAATTAAAAAGCCAACCCACTTCCCAAACGGAGGCAAAGTACAATTAAAAATTTCAAAAAGTTGAGGGCAGCTGGACATCATTTGAGGATCATATCTAATGATTACTTAAATTTGTCATTAAATTTAATTTTGGTGAAAAAAAATTTCTTATATGTGCTCAAACAGTTTTATCGAGGGGAAGATTCCAGTGGAGTGACTCCCATCACGCCCATTGTTTTTTGAAAATTATTTTATTTTATTTTATTTTATTTTTTAACTCTTGGTCTCACAACTCCTACGTGGGGGTTACTCCTACTGGGGTCCCAGTACTGCCGTTTATCAAGATATTAAATTAAAAATTTTGCTTTTCTTTCATCAAATTGAGAATTAATGTGTCTTTCATTAAATTACTGTTTATAACCGTTGTTGAATGTCCCTCGAATGATCACCTGAAAACAAAAATTTGTGAAAAAATTACATTGGTTGGTCGACCAAAAACAAAAATTTGTGAAAAAATTACATTGGCTGGTCGACTGCCTCAAGACAGCCGGTCAACCGGCCAGTCATTCACCTGGTCGTCCGATGTTCTGATGAAGCTCCAAAATCTTTCGTTGGAGTACTTGATATTAAAGAAAATTTTTACTCAAATTTAATAAAAAAATTGATATACCGTTAAAGATGCTCTAATTAAAACGATTAACAAACATTAAAAAAAGGGAGTAATATTATAAGTTTAAACTTTTTATTTAAAAATTTATTAAAAATATCAATATATAATTTAAATTTATTAATGTATGCATCTCACAACGCACTAATTCATCCTCATTCACATTTTAAATTTCTAGACTAGTTTTGGTTCCCTTTTCGGTACAATAGATTTATTGAAAAAATAACGAACAAGAAGTGAATGCTGCGGGTGGTAGAAAAATATTAAAAAACATGCTTGTCACGGAGGAATAACTTTTAGATTTTATTTTTATTTTGTTTTCTCTACTTGAGAAATCATCCACCAAAGATTCTTAAAGCTGTGGGTTTAGTTTTAGTTTTCTAAATTCAGTTTTTTAAAAATTATTATTTTTTATTTTTTGTATTTTTTTTTTGTATTTTTAGTGAATATTTTTAAAATTTTAAACAATTTTTTTTTAGATGCACCATACTTAACTATATTTAAATAGTAAAATATTTGTGAAAAAATATTTTAAAAAATTAATAAATACACAAAAATATAAAAAATGTATTGAATTTTTATATTTTTTGTTATATTTTTGGTATTTAGTGATTTTTTTAAAGATTTTATTATAAATATTATACTTTTTAAATGTATATATGTTAAGTGTATCTAAAAATTAAAAAAATTGCTTAAAATATTAAAAATATTCATTGAAAACAAAAAAATATGAAAAATAAAAAATAAAATTTTCTAAAAATTATTTTCTAAAAATCAAAATC